AAAAAAAAAAAAAAAAAAAAAGTGACTTATGTGAAGGGCCAGGTCTCTTTCTCACCAAATTCAATTCAGGACTGGCCCCAGTCCTGCTTTCCTTCATTTCTGAAGACCACACAGTGAGCCAGGCCACTTCCCTAAAGGCCTTGTGCAGCACAGCAGAGAGTAAGTATGAAGGCACTGAGACTACTTGTGGCTCCAGCTGACAGCAGGCCCTCCACATCAGGCCCACCAAAGACCCTCCATCCTCCCTGGGGAGCAAGCATCACAAGAACGAGCTTTTCCACTAAGCCAACTAAGTAAGGCATTCCTTGGCCTTTCCTTGCTGAAACTCTGGATGGTGGACACAACACCTGGGCAGATGGGGTCAAGACAGGCACAAAGAACCAATGAACAATGCTTTCACTCCATTTCTGACCATCATAACCCGTCACTGACTCTCCTGGGGCCTCTGTTTCAAGACCAGGCTAGTAAGAAAGGAGAAGGGGGGAAGAAGCTGAGGCTCAGGTGCTTGGGCCTTGAGTCACTCTGGGAAGGGCCTGAAAGGTAGAGTAGACAAAAAGCTCTGAAGTAACTAATACTTCTTAGATCCTTTCAGCAAAGTCTCTAGAATCCTAGAGAAGGAACAGTTCCTCAGAAAAAGCAACAATGTGGAGGTGAAAGCAGTCACTGGTTCAAAAATAAACAGAACACAATGCCATGTTCAGAACCTGTTCTCAGACAAATGTGCATCCAATCCCAACTCTTGGTCTTGTCCATTACAAGGACACCTTCCTCACAATGTAGGATTAGCGGACCACCTGTTCACCTACCCTGGGATTCTCAAAAATTTTATCTAGTAAACAAACAAAATGGCCTTCTTGAGAATGGAAGGTGCGGCTGTGCTTGGTGGCACCTGCTTGTAATCCTATCACTTGAGACCTGAGGCAGGAGGATCCCAAGTGCAAGGCCAACTCGGGCTACACAGTGAGATCCTGTCACAGAGAGACAAGACAAAATGCGAGGTGTAACTGGGCACCTCTTGAATATAGGGAAGGAAAAGAACCAATGTACAAGCCCAGCATCCTCAGCTTCTGTTCGTATCACTGAAATACAAAATGGTCACAGCCAAAACAAAACAGATAGCCAAACATCTGCTCATTCTCTGTACACTAAGTATGATCGTTCAGGGCTACTATGATCTTGAAACTACACCATTTTTTCAATCCTGATCAGGAGCCTATTTTCTACTCAAGTATAAAGAGCATGTTTAGGAAAGTTTGGGAAATAGGAAGACTGTCAAAAGGCTGGACTGGCTGGGTGCAATGGCACATACCTCTAATTCCAGCTACTCAGGAGGCTGAGGCAGGAGGATCAAAAGGCTCTTAAGTTCAAGCCCATCTCTCTCTCTCAAATAAAAAATAAAGAATAGGGATTTAGCTCAGTGGAAAGGCCCTGGGTTCCATGGCGGTGATGGGACACCTGTAATCCTAGCACTTGGGAGGTGAAGGTAGGAGGTTTCCTGTGAATATGAGGCCAGTTTGAGCTGCATACTGCAAGAGAGGTCAGAACACGAGAAAGAGGCACTGTGGTGAGCATGACTAATGAGGGTGCCTCTCCTACTGACATCCATCTAGTGAGAACAGCTTTGAATCTTTCTGACATTTTTCCAGATGTGTGAGCCAGGAAAAATCAACCTTCTCTTTTCAAACTATCAAAGCTACACATCTTCCAGGCGAAGAGAAAAGTCACTGTAACCAGAGAGGAAAAAGAAGCAGCAGCACTGCACCAGACCAAAAGGCAGGTAAGGAGATGGTAATAGGACAGGCTGCTTACTCCACACCATTCCCAACCAGCCAGTTCTTAACACGCTCCAAACCCTGAATGCCACTACATCTTAGAGCAGTCAATCTGTCACATGCTGATGTCCTTGAGACCACATCACCTTACTTCCATATAGGCTGATCATGAAGATCATCCTGGAAACCAATTTCAACACATGGCAGTTCAGCCTCAAGAAAGAGGAGACAGCAACACTGACTACTATTTCCAGCCCAGCCATTCTGTGTCAGCTGGGGAGCCTCTGAGGCCAACTGAGCACTTACAGCGCAAACCAGCCACTTCATAATCTTCCTCTTCCTCCTCTTCTTCCTCCTCTTCCCCTGAATCACTCTCATCATCTTCACTGTCCTCAGAGTCAGACTCTTCAGTGTAATTCCTGTGAGGAAAAATCATGTAAGCAGCACAGTTTTATCCCAAAGTGGTCCTGAAAAGGGCTGAAGTCCCCACAGGGATCCCAGTTGCTCTTCAGATGAGACAGAGCTGACGATAAGGGGAGAGGCTCTCCACCTAGCCCAGGAGAGCTTTTCACAGAATGCAAAATGAAGCTCAGTGTATGCCTCCCTCTGTTCAGGTCCGAATGGTTTGGACAAGACACCAATGGCAAAAAAATTCAAGACCAAAATGCAACTGTACCCCTCCTCACACAAAACAATATGAAACACTATTACTTTCGTCTCACAAAAAAGAGCCAGATAAGGTAACATTTCAGGTACTAAAAGCTGCCCCCAACTCTGGGTGGACTGAAAGGATAAACAGAGCCCAGACAGGTGTTACTCCACCTTGATGGCCCACTTCCAGGAGCTGAGACAGCTTGCAGATGACCATGACATCAAAGCAATGGTAATCCCAGCTCAGAGCAGCTGGTCCAAAGCCTCACCACTTCAGAGCAGCATGCCTCATCTCTCTGTAAGTGTAGCTGGAATGGAGTGAGAAATAATCCGGTAATACTGTTAAGTAAGGTCACGATCAAACAGCTCTGCCCTTTATAACAGAGACCACGCCAGGATGCCTATAAGCTGCCCTTTTACAACCTCAAATTTCAATGTGGGAAACAATATTAACTTGGCAAATATTAGGTGTCTCCTCTTTACAAGGTCCTGTGTTTCAACATATTGATACTCAAATGTAGAACAAAGCATCGCCTCTGCTCACAGGGTAATGACCATCTCACGGGAGGCAGCCGTGTACAAAACTAAGTATAAAGGAAGATAGAGGCGCTGAAACCCTGTTTCAGAGATTGAAAGCTGAGCTGTCACAGAGGAGAAACAATGCTAAGGATGTAAAAGACTTTGAAAAAAGGAGTGCAATTTGAGCTACACCATGGGCAGTTTACCTAGTTAGGAGTGCTAGACAGATGGGAGTATTCCCAGATGGGAGGAAGGATGAAAAACAAACAAGTGTGCAGAGGAACTAGAGCTCAAAAAACCTAGGTTAGGGTTGTGCAAGTCTCACAAGTTAGGCTTGAAGGGTGGATTTCATTCTAGAGGCAATAGAAAGATGGAAAGTCTCGTTCAGGAAGGTGAACAGATCTTTGCCTTATGCATACGATTCTGATATTGTTGTAATAGCTGGATGGGTAGAGGGGGAAAGACAGGAGGTAAGGAAGAGAGTGGAAAAGCCACTGACAGAGCCCAGCGATCACACGTGGTGAGAAGGAACAAATAGTAGCAGGGACCGTGAAGAACATAGAATAGGTAAGTAATCCTTAAGACATTTGCACACTGGACTGATAACATTTGGGAAATTAATAAATATATAGAATAAGGGAGACAAAGTCCATGTCCAAGTTGATGTCGAAGTTGTAATCACAACAGGAAAAGGAAATCATAGTTACAGGGAGGGAAGGTAAAATAAGTTAGATGGTAGCCTTTTAGCCATGGCTGGTTGCAAAAGGTAGAGGGAGACAGATATGTATCGTTACCTGAGAAGAAAGTATGATCAAGACCATAGACATGGCTGGGAGTGAAAACTAGAAATGTTAACCTGCAACCAGAATTAGATCAGAGCCCTCTGAGCTTCTACTGAAGCAACATAAATGATAAGGCTCTGTACTCACAAGAGTAGCTTAAAGAGCCTTAGAATTACTCATTTAAATAACTAAAGTTTATCTACTCATTCACTTATATTTAAAAGAAAAATTCTCACCTGCCACGGGAATTGCGCCTGGCAGTAGCAGGCTGGCAAGCTGGGCACTGCCACTCGCCATCTGGTACTTCATAGAGGGCCGGCCTCAGACAAAACAGGTGGAAGGCTTTATTACACTCATCACACAAGATCAGTTTGTCATCCTCACCTGCGGAAAGATAAAACTTGCACAGCATTATCGACAGCACAGAGGCAGTCACTGACTTAGAAGAAAGAATTGCTGACCCTAAGCCAACACCACAGAACAAAAAAAAATCTAGAAATTCCAATCCAGTTTTGAAAAATGCTGTCATTTTCTATAAAGAAATATGGCATAAACCAGAATATAGATAATTTAGAAAAGAGGGCTCCTAGCATGTTTTCCCAAATCTACCCAGGACTAGGACAGGGTGAGGAGTATTTACTGAGAGGCAACAAAAACCAAGTGATGGCTGGTGTGATTCTAAGTCACTTAGGCTTCTTACATTTGAAAATACACTGAATCAGCTTACCATAGTTAATTCTCTCAAACCTTTATTTTATTTTATTTTATTTTTTTAGGAGACAGGGTCTCACTATGTAATTCAGACTGCCCTGGAACTCACTATGTAGCCCAGGCTGGTCTTGAACTCGCAGCGATCCTCCTGCCTCAGCCTCCCAAGTGCTGGGATTATAGGCATGCACCATCACAGCTAGCTCAAACCTTCATTTTTAATCAGCAACTGAAGGATTTTACATAGGATTTTTTTATCCTTGGAAATTATAAACCTTAACCTAATTCATAAAAATAACTTAAGCTACCAAGAAATTAATTACGTGGCTTTTAGCCATGAAGTTCCTTTTGCAGCCATGAGATCTTAAAAGGTCCCAGTCTTAAAACAAATTATTTCCAATGATACGGTCTGTAGAACTCAGTGCTAGAATAACCAAGTCAGCATTTTTGGAATGTACAAAGACTGGCCCCTGCTGGAAGTACCTACCTATCTCACTGCACAGGTAACACATTCTAAATCACAAAATTCAGATGAACTCAATGTGCCCTCTAAATATGTGAAGACTAGAGAGATCAACTGTTTTTTGTTTTTCCTTTTTCTTTTTTGGTACCGGGGATCGAACTTGGGTCCTTGTGCTTGTGAGGTAGGCAGTGGAACCACTGAGCTAAATCCGCGGCCCAAATAACTGCTCTTATTGTATATTCTAAACTGTAGAACAAGCATCTGCTCTGATTCACTAGCATGCAATTTCAAAGACAAACATTTGATAAAACCTCAGGAGAGAGTAAAACTCTGCTCCACCACACTTACAAAGTATGTACACAAAATGCTTTTGTTTTTTTTTTTGTTTGTTTTGAGGCAGGGTCTCACTATGTAGTTGAGACTGACCTGGAACTCACTATGTAGCTCAGGCTGGTCTCGAACTCGCAGTGATCCTCCTGCCTCAGCCTCCCGAGTGCTGGGATTACAGGCGTGTGCCACCATGCCCGGCCACAAAATTCTTTTGGAGAGAAAAGGAGGTCTTGAGACTAGAAGTCCTAATCCCCATACACCCAGATTAGAGATTTAAACATACCTTTCTTTCGACAAACTTTGCATCTGGCATTTTCTGCAGACATATCCCACTTGATACAGGCATCAAGCATCCCAAGTAGAACATGCATTCTGGAAAAAGTTTGAGCTTCACGGATTGCTGTCTTCCACTTTTCCAGGGCAGATGCAACCTAACCAGAGAGTAAACCAGCCAAGATTACTACAATGACCTCAAAACCATGGAAATAGGTGCAGTTCACTTAAAAGATTCTATATCATTTAAAAGTAGGAACCCAAGGGCTGGAGATGTACCTCAGCAATGCTTGCCTGGCAAGCACAAGGTCCTGAGTTCAATCCCCAGCACTGGGGAAAAAATACAAAAATAATAATACAAAGTAGGAACCAAGTACAGGGATGTAAAAGTAAATCAATTGTAAAGTGTTTCCCTAGCATGTACAAAGCCCTGGGTTCAATTTCCCAGCACCACCCAAAAAACAAAAACAAAAACCAATTAAGAATGTTTATGAGCTGCAAATGCCAGGATGCAACAATGTTGTGTACCTGACAAAACTGGTTAACAAGATTAACTGTTTCAGACTAATGTGCACCATAACCCTAGATTACAGGGCCTAAACATGGTAAAGAATCTATAAAGCATTTTGGACAGACCTTAAAGTATTAACTACCTAATAAAAAATGTTCCCTTTGTCTTCTAACTAAAGTAAAAATTTTAAGGTCCTAGGAGTTAGCCTGACTTCATTCTGGACAGTTACTCTCGGCATAACCTATTTTTGTGTTTCCCCATCAACAGAGAGACTATAAATTAAAGAACAATGATCTTCTCTTCTACAGATATTCTAAAGAGGAACAAAATCACCATTTTAGTCATTCATTTATATTACTATTTTGTAAATTGGGGTTTTTTGAGTTTTCAATGTATCTCTTACATAAATGATCAAATGGGCATATATATGTACACAAATATTAATTTAGTGGTAAATGGTCTCAGGTTAAGTAAAAAAACATAACATAGAGGTGGGATTGGGGGGATAGCTGAGGCCCTGGGCTTGATCTCAGACACTGAGGGAAAATAAAAAACATTACCAAAGGTCAAAGAATTGAGCTACCTGTGAGCATTCATTATGATTGAAGGCTGAGGAAAGGGGACAAAGGCTGCCTTTTCTCTTTTCTACAAAAGTACAGAACAGAGAACACTCTATATATAAATTTATGAATAATGAAGATACAATAAACACACAAGTCTACATTTAAATACGGACAACTAATCCAAATCTGTTCAAAAGAATATAGTGTGCTTTTTTGGGGGAGGGGTACTAGGGATCAAACTTGGAACTCTGCACTTGTGAGGCAGGTGGCAGAACCACTAAGCTAAATCCCCAGCCCCATTAAAATACAGTGAGCCTTTTTTTTTTTTTTTTTTTGCAAAAGAATATAAATTTAGGATAAAATGGTTCTTTTTTTTTCACTGTCACCTAAGACTGGTTATGAACTAGATTCAAGTAATCCTCCTGCCTCAGGTTTAACTCTTAAGACCTCTGATAACAGGGGCCGGGGATTTAGCTCAGTGGTTCTGCTGCCTGCCTTGCAAACACAAGGACCTGAGTTCAATCCCCAGTACCAAAAAAAAAAAAAAAACACAAAAAACACTTCTGATAACAAGCAGGGGCTGGACTACAAATGAGCTTAGCTGACCTCTGGTGAGAAGTCAGATGCAGTGCACACATGTGCTGGAGAAAGCAGTCCTATGGACACACAATACTGCTTTATATTTCCTAATTACTTCGTATTCATTATGAAATTTGAGCATCTAAGAACCTCATTAAAATTTTTTTTAGAAATGTGTAAAGATCTTGCTTTCTTTTTTTTTTTAAAAAAAAAGGTCTTAATGATATTATATAACAGGTGGCCTTCTCCTCCGAGGTTCATTCATATAGCTTCTAATAGTACATCATTCCTGCCTCAGCCTCCTGAGTGCTGGTATTATAAATGTGCACCACCATGCCCAGCTCAGCCTCTAATTTTGATGGAAAAACATTAGACACTCCAGATTTGAGAAAATTCTGGGTCTCTTGTTGTATAATATCCCAAATAGTCCAATGTATTAGAAAACAAAACAAAATACCTAGGCATGAATACATACACCTAAAATCCCAGCTATTCTGGAGGTTAAGGGAGGAAAATCAATTGCAAATTTTAGGTCAGCCTGAGCAACTTTGCGAGACCTAACTCAAAATAAAAAATAAAAAAGGTGGGAGGTATATCTCAGTGGTAGAATACCCCTTGGTTTGATGCCAGCCACACACACACAGAGTCCAGTACACTAGCTCAAACCCTTAACACCAGTACTTGAGAGGCTAAGGGAGAAGACACATGAATGATCTGAAGGCCAACCTGGGCTATATAGTGAGATCCCGTCTCAAAAATACAAACAAGCAAGACTTTAAAAAATCTTGTACATTCCAGGCAATGTTTTTAAAAATAAACATCGGCAAGCTGAAATTTTCACTCAACACTGATGGTACCCAGTAAAAACCTTGGGTTCTACAGTGCTGTTGGAGCCTAGCTACATTATTCTGGTAGAAACTCAAATTCTCCAGCATATAATGTTTAAATAAAGTTAATTCTTAGTTAGAAGTAGGTATAACAAACCAAAAGGGAAGGGTCATACATGCAAATCACTGTTCCCTTGCTTAACCCTAGGAAAGATGATTATCCTTTCTTGGGAGAGATATAACGAGGCTTCTATAAAAAACAATTCAAAATGGAAAACCAAGAGCTAGATGCCTTCTAAAATTGGAAGGATACATAAAATTCACATGGTGCCTGTACAAGAATGAGAGACAAATTCATAAGGTGTTCCTTATTTTCTGAAATATCAACAGTATCCCATAAATATGTACAATGACTGTGTGCTAATTTTTAAATATGTGAGGAGATGGAAATGCTAACTACTCTGATCATTATATGCTGCATGGCTGGGGATTTAGCTCAGTGGTTCTGTTGCCTGCCTTGCAAGCGCAAGGACCCGAGTTCCATCCCTGGTAAAAAAAAAAAAAAAAAAAAAAAATCCACACACATTATATGATGTATATATGTACTGAATTAACCACACTGTACTCCAGAAATTTATACAATTAAAATAAATAAAATTCAATTAAGAATAAAATGGAAAAATATATAACAGGTTGTCAGGGAAAATGCAACCAAAGTAAGAGAGAGCCAAACAAAAGCCAGCATTTTGTCAAATTATCTTTCCCATATGATTCAAAGAAACAAAGTAGCCTTAAATTCTTGTGATAATCTATTATCATAAAATGATTAAAAAGACAAACTACTTTCATAAATAAGAAAAATGGAGTCCACATTAGAGAATAGCAAACTCATGCAAAGCCTAGTACCAGCTGGAAAACCGTGGCCCTTGCTAAGTGGAAACTTTCAAAGCAAAGGACAGTGAAAAATCTCCAAGCTGGCGTGAAGCTGCTCTGTGAACTATGGGGCACAATGCCGTGTTCACACAGAACGTGCTCCAGCCATTCAATGCCGTAAGACTGACTTCCCACTTCTGTGCTGTGTCTGGACCTGGGAGGGGCAGGTTCCCCCAGCCAAGACAAGGAACAAGTGCTCTGAAAAGCTAAGCAGAACATGCTTCAGAGGACTGGTTTCTCCTCATATTCAAAAAGGGCTTAATGAGAATTCTACATATACTAGTTAGTTCTCAGAAGAAAATGTTAAAGGAAAAGAAACTGCAAGCAAAGATGGCCCTCTTGGAAAGAACTTATGAAGAAAGATTCATGGTAAAGAACCAAGTTAGAAATAAAACCTACACAGCATTCAACAAGATACAAATGCCCAATGAATGAAGGGGACTAGATAACCATTTGGTATCTTAGATCTAGTATCTCCAATGTCATTTACAAGGTTACCTAGATGCTAAGCAGACATTAGAAGGAATATAGGAAGGTGACAACTTATCAAAGGAAGACAACATACACTCGAAGTCCTAGATTGTGAATTAAACCTTTATCTAGGCTGAACATTTTGTTCTCTGCTCTGCCTCTTACCCAAAGTTATCTTCCCTATATAACCCATCACCTGTGGCCTCAGGAAGAAGAGGGGGAATGACGACTATGTATAAATATTTGAGGTGTTTTAGCAAGAAAGGTAGGTTCAATTCCGTATAAACTGGAAGAACAAACTAGAACTAGCTGTCAGTGACAAAGAGGCCAATTTCAGTTCAAAGAAAAGACCTATGCCACTCCTTCATCAACCTGATAATTTCTACTTATTCTTTAAAACTCAGTTTCTCATTTACCTCCTGAGAAATTTTCTCTAATAGGCCCTAGCAGCTAAGCTCTGTTCGCTGACACAGATGGCTCCTGACTTAACAGGTTCAACTTCCGATGTTCAGACCTTAAGACAGTGAAAAAGTGCTATTGTTAGTAGAAGACTTCAAAACTGAACCTTTTGCTAGGCTAATGATACGGAACAATATTCTCTGATGCTGCTGGGCAGGACCTGTAAGGCACAGTCCTGTCAGCTACATAATCACAAGTGGGAAACACCCAAGGGCCTATGGTACACTGTGCTAAGCTACGATGTGGCTGGGTTAGGTGTATACAGCGTATTTTCAGATTAACAGTAGGAGGGTGGAGGTCTAGAGGGATATGGAGGCTTTGTGAACTCCTATGCTTGTCCGATACTTCTCTTCTATCTGGCTGCTTCTGAATTGTGTTCAGAATAATCTTGTGAGCTAAGTAAAATGCTTCCCTGAGTTCTGTGAGCCATTTTAGGAAAGAAGGGATCATGAAAACCCTCAATTTATAGTTGGTATAGGTAACAACCTGGGACGGGGATCCGGAGGGGAATCTTATGAGACTGACTCCTTGACTTGTGGGATCTGACACAAATGCCATTGAAGAGCAGAGCAGACAGTATGGGGACTGAATTGAATTTACCACTCAGTGTTGGTAAAGAATTGGAGAATTGTTTGCTATGGAAGAAACTCACATATATATCACAGCAGAATTATGTTGGCTGGAGGAATGCTTTTCTTTACTGGACTAGCCCTCAGCCTTAAAAAGACTTGTGGCATGCGCTAAACCATGCATGAATCTTGAGGACAGAGTCCCAGTCATATACGCAGGGTTTCCACTTCTATGAGGTTTCTAACAGGAGTCAAATTCAGAGATAGAGTGGTGGTTACTAGGGGCTGGGGGAGGAATTGGGAGGTTAATGTTTAGTGTGTGTAGTGTCAGGCTGGGAAGATGGAAAAATTCTAGAAATGGATGGTGGTGCTATCTGTAATATTGAGTCTAGGACTATACATATAAAATGGTAAATTCCACATTCATGTACATTATAAAAAATATTAAAATATTTTAATAACCACGATCACCTTCTAAAAGAGAAGTTAATTCTGGTAAGAAGGGGTTTAGGGTACACCCCTTCTGTACCTCTGCTCCACAGACCAATGTGCAAACCACAAATCTAGTGGAAATTACCATTTAAAAACAGGACAGCTGGGAGTGTTGGTGCATTCCTGTAATCCCAGCACTCAGGAGGATGGCAGCAAGTTCAAGGCCAGCCTAGGCTATAGCTGAATTCAAGGACAGTATCAACTACACAATGAGACCCGGTCTTAAAATTCTTTCCTTTCCCAAAACCAACCGGGAACAACACTGGCTCAGAACACAGTGCTTACAAGCAGCTCAAAGGACAAGGATAAACGTCTTTAAAAGCAAATTACACTCTTCTACTCAATAATAAAACTACAATGGTATCTTGTTTTATGAATATAATTTTATGATTTTGGGAAAGATATCTGTGTTTTTGTGTATGGAAGATGGTTATGGTCATGTTTGTTACTTGATGTGGAGTTTTCGAATGGAATCAAAACTCTGCCAAATATTTTTGTTTGTGAACCAAACTGTTCATAAAAAGAAGTGTTCATGAAATGAGGTATTACTGTTCAACAGCTAAGTACCTTTTCTTCTTCTGCCACTTTTTTCTCTTCGTCTACTTCCTCAGTTTTTAATGAATCTTCACTTTGGACTTTTCTTCTCTTTTGCTTGGGAGCCATGAAGCCTTGAAGAAATTTTTTGATGACACTGGCCTGAAGAGCAATAACACACTCACCAAAATCCTTGAGTTTCTCCAGTGAAATGACCTAAGAAAATTATTTTAAAACTAGGTTAAAAGAAAGCTAAGAAAAAGATGAAAAAAGTCTGTCTTTTGTTTTTTTGGAGACAGGGCCTCACTATTTAGTTCAGGCTAGCCTTGAATTTACTATGAAACCCAGGCTGGCCCCAAACTTCAGGCAATCCTCCTGCCTCAGCCTCCAAAGTGCTAAAAGTCTACCTTTAAAGTAAAATCAATATAGGTTCAAATATCAAAAGGGCCACATGACATGATAAAGCTGTATTCCTTAGTCTACTGGATAAATTATGTATTTCAAAGTAGTTGACTACTTCCAGAGATTTCCTCTACTTTAGGAAGTATGCTGAGAAAGTATTCTTTAACAACACTGAGTAGTATGCTGAAATGTCATGTACTTCATCAGGCTGTTCAGCAACTGCCAACTATCTACCATGGGCAAGCTATGGTCTTAATGTAAAGACAAAATGAGAAGAAAGATACGTGCTTTAGATACTCAATCTCCTCTAGGCCTCACATCTGTTTTATGTATGAGGAAAACGGGAGCCAAATCAATTCATCAAAATCATGCTTGTAAGGGTGGGTGTGGTGGCGCATGCTGTAATCCCAGCGCTCAGGAAGCTGAGGCAGGACGATCTCTGTGAGTTTGAGACCAGCCTGAGCTACACAGTGAGTTCCAGGTCAGTCTCAACTACATAGTGAGACCCTGTCTCAAAAACAAAACAAACAAAAAAAAATCATGCTTATAAACACTGCATACTATCTTGTCAGTTACACAAGGCATGCCAATTAAGAAATACCATTTTTGGGCCAGGGATTTAGCTCAGTGGCACCGCAGCTGCCTTCCAAGGTCCTGAGTTTGATCCCTGGTACCAAAAGGGGGAAAAAATTCCATTTTTGTGGCCATAAAGAATAATCTTATGCCATATCTGTTAGGGAAAAATAGTAAACGTGTAACATTTGAAACTGGCAAGATAATTTAGGATAAATTTTTCAAAACACATTAAAGGGCTGGGGATTTAGCTCAATGGTGCTGTGCCTGCCTTGCAAGCAGAAGGTACTGAGTTCGATCCCTGACACAAATAAATAAATACAAACAAAGGTTTAAATCTGATTTTCCAGGAAATGTATGAAGAATTCATTGCTATGCTAATCAAACAACTTACATATGTAAGATGTTATATATAATTTACTAGTTCTAATAAGAGAAACATAGACTATGTAAAAAATTAAAATTTTAACTAGAGAAAATTAGGAAAAAGATCCAATGTCCAGCAAAATCATTCAACTAAAGAACACACATGTCAAAAAGCTGGGAGTGGTGGCAAGCATTTATAATCCTACCTACTTAGCCAGCCGAAGTAGAAAAATTAAGACTTCAAGGCCAACCTGGACAACATAGAGGCCAGCCTCAAAAAAAAACGGGCCAGGGATTTTGCTCAGTGGTTCTGCCGCCTGACTCACAAGAGCAAGGTCCTGAATTTGATCCCCAGTACCAAAAAAAAAGAAAAAAGAAAAAAAGGCTGTGCATAGTGATCCACACCTTTAATCCCAACACTTGAGAAGCTGAGCCAGAAGAGCCTGAGTTTGAGGCTAGTTGGGTTACAGGACTACACAGCAAGACCCTGTCTCAAAACCACCCCCTCTAAAGAATATACATGCCATAGTGGGTACAAATAGGCACCCTCAGGATCTGCAGGAGACTGGTCCAGGAACATACCCCATCTCTCCCCCATATCAATATCCATGATATTTGAGTCCCTCATATAAAATGGCATAGTATTTCCACATAATCTACACACGTCTTTCTATATATTCAAAGAAGCTCTAGATGGTTTATACCTAACACAGTGTGCTATGTAAATAGTTTAACATAATGTTTACCCAATAATGACAAAAAATCCTGAATACACTCAGTATAGTTGTCATTTTTTCTTGAATATTTTCCATTAAGGTTAACTGTGTGGATGCAGATGGACAGAGGGCTGACTGTAATTTGAAAAGATCCACAAACATTTACGATTTAAAATCAATTTTAAAAACTTTAATAGCTGATGGATAATATTTTCCAGTCCTCTCTTCAGCTGTAAAAGGTCTGCCATTACTGGTAAAGGTTTTTCTGAGCAATAAATGGCAGGGCTATAAATGAGCCTTAAATGCAGGCCACTTAATACTATGACTGATGTTCAGCATAAAACAACTCTCCTGAGGTAAGTGGGTATAAAGAATGGTCAAAAGCAGGATAAACAAACACGTGTCACACATCAAGGCATTAGGTATCACAAGGAAAGATATGTTAAATGACAATATAATGACTATGGCTTGACTACCAATTTTTTTTTTCTTAATAGCAAAACATTTATTGATACATTTTAGGCATATATAATACTCATCATGGGGAATTTGCACCTGTACATGAAATATCCCATCTTTTTTCCCCTTCCCATGTACAAAAGCTTTGTTTCTATCTTTACTTTTTTTCTTGTCCCTTCCTTCATTTCTCCCTCCCTCCTCCCTTGTTCCCCTTGTCATCTGAACATTTTCTGCCCATTTCCCAGTATCTATTATATATTTTAGTCCTTATTTCTATTTTCAGTTTCTCATACCAGAAAAACAACGCAGTATTTTAAATGTGTGTGTCCAATTTATTTCACTTGAGAGTATGGTCTCAATTGACCACCAATTTTCACTGAAATGAATAGATAAGGTTTTTTTTCCCAAACAAAAGTTTTGAACCAACTACCAAAAATTTTTTTTTTAAAGTATCAGCAAAAGATGAAAAGGGGAAAGAAATCTATGTATATAAAAAATTTCTGCTTTTATATTCAAGACAAATTCAAATTTATCATTTCTAGGGTTATCTTGAGAAGTCAAACAGTGTCAAGGACTAATTTCAAACTGAACTCCCGTATGTACCAGATCTCTAAGGGTGTTTTCTTTTACTCTTACCCGAGCTTCAAATTCTGAAGTTTCTTCCACATATCCAAGTCCTCCTTTCTGCAACCTTGTTGCAACTTCAATGAGATCACTCCTCAGGAAATTTAAGAGCTCCTGGTTGCCATCACAGGATTTCAGACCTAAATTTGGCTTCCGAGCCAGATGAATAGAGTGAATAACGTCTTGGTACCTAGAAGAATAAAAGTGGGCAAAGGAAAAGGGAAAATGAACTTATGAAAGTGCTAAGTTTTAATTAGTCAAATGATGTGTTTTATGTCTAGAAGACTCATTTAAATTTTTTTATTTCTCCTTGGTATTTATTAGTAGTCTCATGTTTCTTATATAACATTGCAAATTTCTCTTATTTCTTGCTTCCTTCTAAAAACATTTATCCTGTATTTGATAATTCCAATGTCTGGCAAATACTGCTTTCCTAATTCTCATTCATGTTGCTCTTCATTACATATTTTGTGACTTTTTGTTTACCATGGGCTTCCTGGAATTTCATCTGTGGGAACTGTTAGTAGGCCTTGTTTGATGCACTCTTCCAGAGAACTTGTATTTGTTAGTTGCAAGAAGTTGCTAGCAACCTGGGATAACTCTAAATTGTCTGCTTAGAATGCATTATCACACTAAGAGATGCAAATGTAAGTGGAAAACCTGAACAAATACTTTCAGAACAGATCACCTTCACAGAAAAATTAATTGATCTTCTAACAATAAAGACTGACTCCTATAAGACTCTACACCCTGGGTGGGCCACAGACTACTGTGACTTCCTGCAAAATGGAAACTAAAGCTCAGTAGCATCTTAAATAAACTTTTTTGTCTTTATAATGAAGATTTTTAACATTATTTTTTCTCTGAATATAACTCCACCATATCCCACTGTTTTGTATTGTTTTTGGTAGCACTGGGGATTATACCCACAGCCTTTACACTGAGTAGTATCCCAGCCCTCTTCTTATTTTAGTATATGTGCTGCTGAAAAGCAAGCATGAGCCCTTTTCTAATTTTGAGACAGGATCACCATAAGTCACTAAATTGCCAAGGCTACACTTGAATAGTGTGATTCCCCTGCCTCAGCACGTCCAGCCCCACTGGTTTTCTTATAAAGGAGATTCCTTTGCTTTCTAGATGTTATATAATTTTTCTTTGGTCTAAGTCATATCTAGGAATATATTTGTTAGTAGCAGTTAAGATCTTTTTGGTCTCCATTACAGAATTTATTTCTAATATCATTACAATTTGACTAGAAAATGTATCCTATAAGTTTTCTTTTTGGTTGGGTGGGGTTTGAAGTCAGGGACACCTTGAGCTAGGCAAGTGCTCAACCACTGAGTTATACTGCTACCCCTAAAAATAAGTCTACTTTTAAAATTTATTGAGCTGGGTATGGTGAAACACACCTGCAATCCATCCCAGTACTTGGGAGGCTGAGGCAGGAGGATTGCCATGAGTTCGAAGCCAATCTGGGCTACATAGTGAGCTCAAAGCTAGCTTGCCCTACAAAGCAAGACCCTGATTCAAAAAATAAATTTTAAAAAATTGATGCAATTATTTTTGTAGCTAGGTATTATTTTACAAATGTTCAATGAATATAATTTTTCTATCTGCCCTAGTACCCTTTAACTCACTTTTATGTATATCCCTCATCATTTATATATTCTTATAAACACCTTATATATTTATATTTTTCAAATATGAACCTGAAATGGTATGTTAAACATTATCCTATTCCCTTAATTTTCCTCAAGAGGAAACAACTAAAATAACCATAATAAGTGAATGGATAAGTCGGGGTAAATTCAGTAATACAGGCTGGGGATTTAGCTCAGTAACATATAAATTTGTGGAACATTATACAAAAAAGGAGGGGCCAGGGATTTAACTCAGTGGCAGTGTACCTGGCCTCACAAGAGCAAGGTCCTGAATTCATTCCTCAATATGGGGGGGAATGGAGTGCAGCTACTAGAAAACAAAACAAAACACAACACTAGATGACACTTTAGCAAGGAAAATATATCCCAAACTGCTTGATAGCCTTTAAAAAGTTCAAAATCAAGCTAGATAGAAAACAAAACCAACCCACAAGAGCTTAAAAAAAAAACATGGTTTAAGAAAAGCTACTGACTGTAGCAAGGTCCGGAGTTTGATCCCCAGTACCCCCCACCAAAAAAAGAAGAGGTACTGTAAATCTGTAACACGTATCTATCAAATGTCATTATCAAAGGAAAGAAATTATCATATATACGTATTTGTTTTTTCTGGTGCCGGCACTGGGGACTGAACCCAGGGCCTTGCACTGAGTTACATCCCCAGCCCTTTCTAATTTGTTCTGAAGCAAGGTCTTGCTAATTTGCCCAGGTTGGGCTAGAACTTGGGTGATCCTCCTGCCTCAGCTTCCCAAAGTGCTAAGATTATATAGGTGTGTGCCACCATGCCTAGCTACTATATCTGTATTCCACTGTGTGTGGATATTTACATTTTCTTTGTCTTTCTTAATCTGCCCAGATGCATCTGTATTAAGATTTTGAGTATTACGCTAATTAAGGTACACATTAAACAGAGGCATAAGATCATATGATACATCTATTATTACTTACAGAGTCTAGTGGTGTAGCAAAGGATGTACTTAGTGATATTACTGTCTCTTCACTCAAAACCTACATTCAGCCATGAAAATGCAATGATGAGCCGCTCTACTCCAAAAACCTTACAATGGCTTTTGACAGAAACAACGTAAAGAAACTACACTAAAAAATTTAGAGTGGATGTTATTTTGTAGTCACACGGGTTTTACTACTTTTTAAAGATATAATATAGCTGGGGGGGATTTAGCTCAGTGGTGCTGCTGCCTACCTTGCAAGCACAAGGTCCTGAGTTCAATCCCCAGTACAAAAAAATGTGTGTGCATGTGTATGTGTGTGTGTATTACAAATATAAAATTCACCATTTTAAAGCAACTATGTCATGAGATTTTTATGCTACTCCAACTCATCTCCATTACCCCACAGATCCCATACCTATCAGCAGCCAGTACTCCAAAATCTCCCCCTTCACCAACCCCTGGCAACCAATAATCTTATTTTCTCTGTAGTTGCCTATTTTAGGTTTTCCAGATAAATGGAATCACATAATGCATAATATTTATGTCCAGCTTTTTTTACTTAGCAGAAGCAAAGTGAAAAATCCTACCTCTTCTCTAGTCTCTCTTTAAGTTGACTTTCTCTTATTCCCTGAGGATGAAGACAGTTCAGCAACTCATCTAGCTCCTTCTGACTATCACATAAAAACCTACAGAGACAAAAACAGATATCACAACTCTGAAAAACAATCAAGATCAAACACTGAGTAAGGAATATAGGGCTGGTGGTAGGAGACAGAAAAGTAGAATTCCAAATCTGTTCAGTCTAGTATCTATAATCAAAATAAATATTTTACTGTTTCCATAAGACCTAAAGTTAGCTTTATCCTACCACACTGGATCCAATGTTTCCTACTACAATAAATAATGCAACAAAATTTATAAAGTTAATAAAAACACTTCTGCATATGCCTTAAAAACTAACCCTATACCCAAAACTAAAGACAAATGGTCATTAAAGCAGTAACAACAAAAACACTCAATGTGATCAAAAGTAGAAGAGACTCTCAAAATTTAGCGCCTCAACCAAGAAACTAAAGTGCGTATATGGCTGGGGATTTAGCTCAGTGGTTCTGCTGCCTGCCTCGCAAGTGCAGGGACCCAAGTTCGATCCCTGGTACCCCCAAAATAAATAAATAATAAAAAAATAAAAAATAAAAAGCTAAAAAATAAGTGCATACAAAAGATAGTTAATGGTATATATACTTCAATTAATAAAATTTAAACTTATTTTCAATTAGGTTATATTTATAAGCTATGAATAACTATTATGAATAAATTTTATTTAATAAAATCTAATTCAGAAAAATTCTAAATACTTCTACTCCCAAATAGCTTTAAGAACATTTCTACTGCTATGTGAGATTCAAATTATAGAGGAAGATGGGCCGGGGATTTAGCTCAGCGATTTGGTGGCCTGTCCCGCAAGCGCAAGGACCTAAGTTCGATCCCTGGTACCAAAAAAAAACAAAAAAAAACACAAAAAACACCAGATTATAGAGGAAGAAAATCAAATTCTAAGCCTTGAGTAAAACAAATGTCAGCTTATTAAAAATCAGATTTTTGAAGCTGGGGATTTAGCTCAGTAGTGCCATCACCTGCCTAGCTTGCACACGCAAGGTCAGGAGTTCCATCCCCAGCACACCATCCCCAAAATAATCAGATTTTTTAAAAGAAAAAGCAATGAGTTTTGATATACAAGAAATCAATGTGACACAAAGCATCCTTAACAGATAGATAGTCATTATATTAAATACTTCCTTCCTCAAGGAAAAAGAGCGAGCCACCAAGAGAATGCTCACATTACCATAGGTTCTGTCCTTGTTTGGGTATAGTGGTCTCCACAGCAATTTCTAGTGTTGATCGATGTGTGTTCATACTTGCATTTTTGCCTAAGTTTGCTTTCTTACCTAAGAAAAATGTAAACATTAAGTTGTGATACAGTAAATACCCAATTCTTAGTTTTAAACCTAACCAGAACCCAGTGCCAAATCCAACAACTAATAACACAAATACTGCCTGTTAAACATGGTATGTGTAGTAGATGCTTATTTACTACAATGGTTCAACTTAAGTTTTTTTACTTTACGATGGTACAAAAGTGACATCAACAGAAACTGTACTTCAAATTTTCATCTTTTCCTATGGTTGCAGTCTACAGTGTACTACTATGATCCTAATCTATGCCACTGGATTAAGTTAGATGCATTAAATTCTGTTTTTTTTTTTTGTTCTGAGATAGTCTCACTATGTAAGTTGAGGCTGACCTTGAACTCACAATGTATGTAAATCCAGGCTGGCCTCAGACTCAGTGATTCTCTTGCCTTAGCCTCCCAAGTGCTACAATTACAAGCGAGCAATACCAAGCCTGGCTATTAAATGCATTTTTACATACAAAAATTCCAAATTTTAATGGGTTTATTGGGCAGTAAACCCATCATAAACTGAGACGCATCAATATTTACCCTCTACAACTGAATATTTACTTTACAGTTAAAACTTTAAGAATGCTGTGACAAAGAATAGAGGATGTTGGCCTAACTATAACAAAGCAAATAATTTATCCCTTTTATATGATTTTTGTTGTTGTTTTTTGAGATATGGTCTCACTATGTAGTTCGGGCTGGCCTTGAACTCACTATGTACCCTAGGCTGGTCTCAAATTCATGGCAATCCTCCTGCCTCAGCCTCCCAAGTAAACCACGTCATGTCTTACTGCAAGAAAGTTTTGAAACACATTATAAAACAATCCTTCATCCAGTTGGAATCACTCCCAAGTCTGAAGATCCTGACTCCACTGTGAACTCCTCTGACCTCATCTGCCTATTTATAACTATAATTTAACCAAACTAGATATTTCTGCAAGGTGACCTACATCTACACACAATATAAAAATACAACATAAAAAACATACAGTTTTGACCTTTATTTTTTAAATTTATAGTAGTTTCCTTATTTAATAATTTTGTAAGTTTAAAGTTTGGGTTCAGAGTTTTTCTACGATGAAATATTACTTTCTTAAAAAGTGAAGATTTCTCAAAACAATATGATGTATGTGTGAGAAGCAATTTTCACTGGGCTTTACTAACCCAGTGGCTCTAACAGAGAACAATGCTGCCTCCCAGGAGACATTTGGTGATGAGACTGGAGACATATTTGAGTTTACTACTGACATCTAGTGGGTAGAGAGGCCAGGCGGGTTGTTCAATATCCTACAAAAAATGCATGGGGTAATTCCTACTACAAAGAATCATGCGACAAAATGTTAAGTAACACTGGGTTTAGAAGTCTGGCATCTCATGTTTACATTTGTTTTTTTAATTTCATGAAATTCACAACATATATAATTCAAGAGAGACCTATCTTTGAGTCATTTATTTCCAGGTAAGTACTAGCTATCTTGCTGTTTCCTCTTACTAGAATGGTTAAATGACATTCGGGATGTTGTCTTTCTGGTTTGCTGCTATACTACCACACACACATTAAAAATTGCTTCGCACCTAAGAGATGCTCCCTAGATACTGAGTAACTACATTTTGAAAGTGAAGAAAGAAGACATAGACCTCTGCTTTCTTAGTCCCTAACGTCTTTCTCTCTATGCAGACAGGTCCACCTACCTTACTCACTACACATCTACATAATGTCAACGAAGAAATTTTGCAAATGGAAAAGGTGACACAAGAAAGGGACTCTAATATTCAGCCTATGAGGGCTGGGGATCTAGCTCAGTGGCACCAAGCCTGCCTCACAAGCTCAAGGTCCTGAGTTGGATGTGGAGGGGTGGGCAATGGTGGGAAAACAACACATAGGCAGTAGAAACAGCTATTTTCCCAGGCCAGCAACATGTGGCACTATACTCTCTTGTGATACTGAGCAGGAGCAGCAGGGAGCCAGCAGGACACCCACACAACCATGAGGGGAAACACTCACACTCTCTAGTGTACTACTCTGCTGTGAGCTTCTGGTGTCTGGTAGGTCATGTGTACTCAATCAACTTTTGATATGTACCCTACTTTTAACTTACAATAGGTTAACCAGAACAGAATCCCACTGCCAACTAAAGGAGCATATGTAGCCAATATACTGTACTTACTGCGGGGACAGTAACCCTCACCGAAAGAGTCTGCATGGTCTTTGCGGTGATGATTGAATCGGTAGTCAATGCTGTCATGTGCCCAGCCTTTCTCAATGAATAATCCTGGAACTTCATCTGAGAAGAGCCAGTATCTACAAATCACAATAATGCATTAATAAGATAAAGAATAGATCGGCACTATTACATCATTTTGCTGGGGAAAGGACTATGAAGTATGATAAAGCATTTATAACCATAGCTGACAACTCCTCTCCTTTGCTCAGAATTCCAGACAGATAAAAATAACTTTTAACAGTTTTCTATCTTGAGGTTCTACACAATGCATGCATTTAAAATATATTAGCATTTTAAAAGTACTTCATTTGGAGTAAGTTTCATCTACCACATAAGTTTCATATCTGTGGTCTCTTTAAGGGCTAGAACAAGTCTTTTCTGGGGAGCAGTGCAAGGCCTTGAACATACTAGGCAAGTGTTCTAGTACTGACCTGCATTCCCTGCCAAGGAACATGTCTTAATTATTTAACCCTAGCCACCTGGCATAGTTAATAGTCAATAAATGAGTGATGAGTAATTACATTTTCAAATAGAACCTGAAAATTCAATAGGAAAGTTATTCTTAGTCTCAGAAATCATAACAATAGCCCCACAAAATTAAAAAATTAAATTTAGCAACTTACCTGTTATGGTTTCGATCAGTACCAATGGGAGTCCTACGCATGACTAGTTTTGCCCTAGCAATTCCTTCCTGGAAAGCCTTCTCAGCGGCCGCTTTGTGCTTCCGAATTCGCTCTTCTTCAGCTTCCCGTTCTAGTTTCACTGGCAAAGGTAAAAAAGTAACCCAACATAAAAAAGATGTTCATCAAACCTTAGCTTCCTTCTCTGAATGGTTACAATGACGTGAAGCAGCCAGCTTATATTTGGTCCTCCTATATTCCTTGATTTTACATCAAGTCTTATCCATCACAGCCACTGAATCTACAAAAAGATCAGGATGGAAAAACTAATAAAACAATTATATCAAGATAAAACCAGTAGGGCTGGGGATTTAACTCAGTGGTTTGGTGGCCTGCCTCGCATCGCAACACAAGGACCTGAGTTTGATCCCAGTGCCAAAAAAAAAAAAGATAAAACCAGTAGTGCTGCACCTGCCTCACAAGCACAAGTTCCTAAGTTTGATCCCCAGCACATACACACAAAAAAGGTAGGACTGAGGAATCTGATAGTACTTCTTAAACAGCCTGATGACAAAAGAATTGAGGCTGGGGTACAGGAGCACATGTGAGCAACAATTACTGCAGGGCTGGGGATGTAGCTCGGTGGAAAAGTACTTGCCTGAGTCCTGCTTTACTCCCCAGCACTTAAAAAACTATATTGAATAAATTTTTCTATTATTATTATTCAGCAATGTTACATTAAGAACAGAAAAAAACTTACTCCATTTCTGATTTTTCATTGTGAACATATCCTATTCAGACAGAAATTTCTCTCAACAACAAAAAAGCCCAACAGTATTAGTTTTTAAGTTTCTGTCACAAACTCTGCCACTGTAAGGCACAGAATGCAACTTACAATGCTGGGATTTTAAAACTTTGATCCTTTACTGTTGATTACAGCTACAAAATGGTGAAAATATGCAAAGTGCATCTGGCAACAGATATTACTTTCAAAATTAAGACATAGCCAGGTGTGGTGGCACAAGCCTGAGATCCTATCATTCAGGAGGCTGAGGCAGGAGGATCACTATGAGTTCAAGACCAGCCTAGGCTACACAGTTAGTTCAAGGCCAGCCTGAACTACTAAGCAAAGCTCTGTCACAAAAAAAGACAAAAACAAACATTAGAATCTATGACTTTCAATAGTCTTCTAGAATGATGGACTATGTCTGTAACAGTGGTTATACAGACAACAGCACAAAAGTAATGATGATAAAAGAGTAACAGATAAATTATAATCAAGAAAAAGTGGAGTGGCGCATGACTGCTAATCCCAGCACTCAGGAGGCTGAGGCAAGAGGATCTTCTTGAGTTCAAGGCCAGCTTGAACTACAAAGCGAAACCCTGACTCAAAAAACAAACAAAACCAGTACTAGGGAGGCTGAAGCAGGAAGATCACTGTGAGTTCAAGACCAGCCTGGGCTACATAGCAAGTTCCAGGTCAGTCTCAACTGCATAGTGAGACCCTGTCTCAAACAACCAAAGCAGAAAAAGCTCATTTTCCTAAGACTATAAGCAAGCATAAATCAATTTAGGGTAAATCAAAACAGACCAAATCAGCATTATGGGAGGCTCAGGAAGAAAGACTGCAAGTTTGAGATAAGCCTGGAACATAAAAAGAACCCCTACCCCCATGCCAGGCATGCAGAGGTGGTGACACATGACCATAATCTCTGCACTTGGGATGATGAGGCAGAAGGACCCCAAGTTCCAGCCCATTCTGGACAACTTAGCAAGACTGTCTCAACATAAAAATAAAAAGGGCTGGGATGGAGCTTGGTGGCAGAGTGGCCTGATTTCCCATGGGTGGGGCATGATACCAAATTTAGTTTTCTTGGTTTTTGCTGGTGGTGGTTTTTTGTTGTTTTGTGTTTGAGACAGGGTCTCTCTATGTAGTTCAGAGTGGCACTGAATTCACTATGTAGCCCAGGCTGGCCTTGAACTCACTACAATCCTCCTGCCTCAACCTCTCTGCTGCAGGAATTGCAGGTATGCACCATGATACCAGGCAAAAGAAACATGTTTCCTAATGAAAGAACTTGGAAGAAAGACATACAAATATGGAATTGGAGATGGCAATGAAGAAATCTTGGAAGTTATGATTATGGAATAGGGCCAAGGATTTAGCTCAATGAGTCTACCACCTGTCTCACAAGCATGAGGAACTGAGTTCAATCCCCAGTACCAAAATAAATAAATGATTATGGAATATATGTGACAAAAAAAGTACTGTTTGTACTCTGAAACTGCCAAACATCAACAGAAATTGAACACATCTATATAAATGCAAAGTATTTACAGATCAGATGATGGACTATTTAAAACTGCAATACTCTCAAAATTGATCTATAAAATTAATCCAAAATCTAGAGATTAACACAAGGGAGTTTATCTACCAATTAAAGTTGTTTTATAACCCGATAAGACAATTTAATAATGGGCAAAAGATCTGAATTAGCATTTTTCCAAGGAGATACAAATAGCCAACAGATCATGAAGATGCTTGGCAGTATTAGTCATGGAGGAAATAAAAATCAAAATCACAAACCAGAAAACTCACACCTACTAGGATGGCTATATCCATAAAGATGAATAACAACAAGTATTCGTAAGAGTACAATCAGAATCTTGGAGGTTTTTCAAATGGTTAAATCCCAACTCAGGGATTCTGTTGCTATGTACCCCAAAGAATGAAAACACGTATCTACACAGAACTTTTTAATGTTTATAGCAGTATTGTTCGTATAACAGCCAAAAGCAGAAGCCACCTCAGTGTGTACTGACTGATAAACAACAAACAAAGTAAGGCTAAACATCAGAATATTATTCAGTCCCAAAAAGGAACACATACATGCTATAAAAAGGACAAACTAGGAATCCATTATGGTAACTGGAAATGAAAAGCAACAATTATGAGAGTCCATTTATAAGAAATATCCACAGTGGGTAAATCCACTGAGAAAATACATTGGTGGCTGCCCCCAAAAGGCTGGGTCCAAAAAGAATAAGTAACATCCAGGGCTTTTGGGGGGGTTTCAGAAGTAGAGAGGTGGCCTGGCCTTCTGTATTGTTTTACATGTTACAAATTGGTTAACATGCTCAGAAACATGCTACACGAAAGAACCTTGTCACAAAAAACTACATATTTATCATGATTCCACTTTAGAAAACATGTAGGCAAATTTATAGAGACAGAATATGGACTGGTGGTAATCAATTTAGTAAGACGGGTGGATGAGGTGCTGCTACAGGGTATGGAATTTTTTTTTTTTGGTACCAGGGATTGAACTCAGGACCTTGCACTTTCAAGGCAAGCAGTGGCACCACTGAGATACATCCCCAGCCCTGGAATTTCTTTTTGAGGTGATGAAAATGTTATAAAATTGTTTGTGGGAGCCAGGCATGGTGGTGCACATCTGTAATGCCAGTATTCAGGAGGTTGAAGAAGGGGGACTGACTGCCTCAAGTTTGAAGCCAGCCTACGCTACAAAGCAAGTTCAAGGCTGGACTGGAATACACAGCAAGACCCTGTCTCTCAAAAAAAAAAGTCTGTGGCAATGATTACACAAATTGTGTTACTAATTATATATTATAATTATATAATAACATGTATAATATACATTATATAATACGTATAATTGTACAGTGTGTAAATGTACATATTTGTATATACATGTATTTTTAAGTGTGTCTGGTTTTAGAGACTGAACCCAGGGCTTCATGTATTCTACTAGGCAAGTATGCTACCATGGAGCCACATTCACAGCCCTCTGGAAATATATTTTGAAACACTGAATTATACTCAATAAATGAGTTAACTGTATGACATGAGAATTCATTCTTTTTGTTTGTATTTATTTGAGACCAGGTTTTGCTATGTAGCCCAGGACAGCCTCAAACTCATGACATAGCCAAGACTAGCTCATGGTAATCCTGCCTCACGATCCTGGGTTCTGGGATTACAAGTGTATACTACCACATCCAGTGAGAATTACTTAATAAAATGTTTTACTACTATTAAAGCTCATATTTGATGATATCATCAAAGTCCAAGATTTTAAGTCCTTAATTATTTTTGTCTTTTTTTTTTTTTTTTTTTTATACCAGGGATTGAACTTGGGACCCTGTGCTTGCAAGACAGGTGGCGGCACCACTGAACTAAATCCCCGGCCTTTCAGTTCTTAATTATTAATAAGGTAAAGATTACTACAGGGCCAGGGATTTAGCTCAGTGGCAGTATGTCTGCTGGGCAAGCACAAGGTTCTAAATTTGATCCCTGGTACCAAAAAAACAACAAACAAAAGATTACTACCTAAGCAGATGACTATGCTAGAGGCTTCAAATACTTTGTCTTTCAACTTTTAAGAAACATGAAGAAATAAAGTTGTCCAAAGGAATAAAGCTGAGACACAAGGGATCTACATTCAGGACAGCAATTCTAAAAGTCATCTTTCCAGTATACCTATTTGTAGCTTTGGTCCTTTATTGACACCATCAACAAATTAATTTATCATTAACTGCAAAACTCCATGCTGAACATTTCTCCTAAAAATACCCTAGGACTGGGGCTGTCGTGCACTGGTACAGCACCTACCTAGCATATGCAAGGCCCTGATTGCAATTCTGAGAATCCCCCTATCCCACCCTACCTCCCCACTCCCAAATATATAAAAGAGAGGCTGGGGATTTAGCTCAGTGGTTCTGCCACCTGCCTCACAAGCACAAAGACCTGAGTTCGATCCCTGGTACCTAAATAAATAAATAAATAAATAAATAAATAAATAAGAGTGTTGGACTATTACAAAAACAAGTGACTAGTTATGACAAACACAAGACCCTATCAATACTGTGGTTAAATTCTTTTACTGTCTTCTAAAGTGTTTCCCTTTCCTCTCAGCATGAACTTTTACCTTTCATTTCTCTTTCCTGGATTTCCCGTTTCCTCTTAGCCTGCAGAGCAAGCAGTCTTCTGCTCTTCACAGCACTAATCATGTCTTCAGCTTCCATATCTACTTGGGGCTCAAACTTCACAATTTCTTTTTTCCTATCAGTTTTACCTAACCCATTTTCCTCTCTGCCATTTTCTTTATTTCTGGCTTCCATTTCTTTCCGTTTCTGTTTCTCTGCTCTCTTCTTGTCATTTTCCTCCTTTAACACAGCAAGCCGCTCCTTCCACAATTCTGCAGACATCTGCTGTCTGGTCTCCATGTGATCTTGTACTGAGTACGTCATGAGGATCCGGTGGCAAAGCGCTGTCAAGATTCGCAGTTTCTCCTCTGATGTTAGCTCAAAAAATTCAGAGGTCTCCAGCTTCTCTAAGAACTCATCTTGCACCTCATTGTCCTCGAAGGGTGCTGAATCTTTATTGTCATCTGTGTCTGAACTCTCATTTTCCTCCTGAGCATCAGATCTGCGCAAGCAGAGTCGCACAAGCTCTGAAACAGAATGTAGAGTGAGCGGGATTTCTGACAGCTTCATCCCCAATTCACCATAGTCTTCTGCTATTTCATCTTGTAGTAAGGTCTGTAGTAAGATGACCAACACTCTGTTCAGGTACAAAAAACCACCCTTATCTGCACTCAAGGCTTCCATGAGGGACACAGCAGTAATGGGATACTGAGCATCGGGTAAGAGAAGCCCGGAATAACAGCTCAAGAACTCCACCACCAGGGCCACATCCCCAAAGAGGGTATTGGGAAGCCCTTCAGGGGTATCCACCAATCGAAACGCTGGAAGGTTTCTGCCCGCTAACTCTTGGTCCTCATACCGCTTCTGTTTTTCTAATTTCTCAAGCATTTCTTTCTGCCTCCGTTCTTTGGCTTTTTCCTTTAACTTTTCTTTCAGCTCTTGTCGTTTCTTTTTCAAATATTCTTTCCGCTGCTCTTCAGACATAGAGGCCCACCTCTTTCTATGCTCTAGCAGCTCATAGCGTTTCTGAACAATAGTTCGCAATTCCTCTGGGAGACGAGCTCGATCTTCACTGGAGAGAAGGCGAGCTGTTTTAGAGATAACACAGGAGAGGGCACTCTTCTTGTCTTCTCTGTCTTTGTTTTCTTTGTAATAGGCAATCAGGTGTAGGGCAGCAGGAGGCAGGTGCTTATGAGGTTTATTAGAGGACCGAGGTGTACCCCCAGAATTCCGTGGGGCTCGTGTCATTTTTTGAGTGCCTTTGGCCATATCCAACAAAGTCATCTGCTTCATTTTGGTCTTAGGAGTCTTTAAACCCTTTTTGGGAGATTTAGAATTCCCTGTGGATTTCTGTCCATTCAGGATGCCTTTGCTTCTGCCCTTTGCCTTCAAAGGTTTGTCACTGTGCTTTCCTGCCTTCTTGGCAGCTGGGCCTTTCTTAGGAATGTGAAAGTTAGCGTGGAGCTTATTGGGGGACATCATCTTCATCACTTCTTCCAGATGTTCTTCTGGAGACTTGGAATTCTTTGAGTTCTTCATTTTGAGTGGTGAACCATTCAAAGATTTCTTCAAGTGTACATGACACCATAACTTGGGATTTAGTGGTGAACTCAGAGAAGAATTGTCTGTCTTAGATTTCTTTGAGGGTTTCCTGTCTGGAGATCCAGTATTCTTCCTCTTAGTGGAAGGGTTCAGAGTCATGTACTAGAATTTAAGAATAGGAGCAAAATTAATTTTAGAAACTCATTTAAAGAAGCAATATTTAATTATTTTAAAGGCCCTCTTCCCCAGATATTTAAAGTTATACATTCGTTTCTCTTCATAGACACTACATCCCCACTTAGGAAAAAAAAAAAAAGACATGTTAGCTGTTTTGTGCTATATCAATACAAAATTCTCGATACCCAGACTGAAAAGTCTACAATACTGAGTGGTAGGGTGTTTGTCTAGCATGTGGAGGCCTTGGGTTCAATGGGGTGGGGATGCTCTTAAAACAGGGCTGGATTTTTATATTTAAGCCTTCATTGCTCAGTGCAAACACCTAGGGCTCATTCCCCAAACTGCAGGGGGGCGGGTACCACCACCACCTATGATTTTAATGTTTTAAAGAATATAGTTACAAAGGAAAAAAGTTGGCAGCTAAAACCAGATAACCTTTAGGATATTTGACTTACTACCAAAGGCAGCTATGCACATGGGTGGCATGCAGAAACTCCGGGTGTTAAACAGACAGGACTAACTTGAGAAAATTCATAGAGGTAGTTGGTAGGACAAGCTAATGTAAGATGGAACTGCAGGCAAACAAACAGCTAGAGACTACAGAGTATGAAAAGATAAGCCCCTTAAAAAGACAACAGGGAAGTAGCTACGGCAAAGGAATCTCAGATAACACAGAAGAGCACCTATGCTCTTGGTTAGGAGTAAAGCAAATCAGTTTAGTGAAACTTTACAGGCTATGCTACAATGCCAACAAAGATCGAAACATTGAGGACAGAAATATAAGAGAAACAACATAAAAAGTAGAAAAATAGTCTGCACTGGTGAGTAGGCTATAATTAAGCAATCCTTCTTCTGGCCAAGTTCTCAAACTTTAAAAGCAAAATTGCCTGTTAAGAATTCCAAGTGTCGGGCTGGGGATTCAGCTCAGTGGTGCCACCTTCCTCACAAGCACAAGGTCCTAAGTTTGATCCCCTGTACCAAAAAGAAAAAGCAAGTATCCTGCCAGGGATTTAGCTCAGTGGTGCCACCACCTGCCTCACAAGTGCAAGGTCCCAAATTTGATCCCCAGTACAAAAAAAAAAAGACTTACAAGTATCTAATTATTACTCCTTTAGCTGACTACTGTGTGTCCTTTTATCTTCTCCCAGTACTGGGAATTGAACCTAAATCCTTTGCATTGAATCATCTTTATTCTGAGACAGGGTCTTGATAAGGTGCAGTGGCTGGGATTGAATTTTGGGATTTTCCTGCCTCAGCCTCCCAGAATACTTAGACATGTTCCTCCACGGCCAGCTTAGCTGACTGGTTTTGTTGTATGATTAAACCAAGATGTTTGGTTCCCCAATGAAGGCTGACAAAAAGGTTTTAGCTCTTTACAAAACATCAACTCCAAGCACAACTCCAAAGATCCTTTTCTGCAATACAGTATTTCCTGGTTCTAGTGTCCTGCATTTTCCTAAATTTCAAAATGACTTCTCATGGACAACAGTACTATCAGTACCTCAAAGAAAACAGTATTTCAGGGGCCGGGGATTTAGCTCAGTGGTGCCACCGCCTGCCTCACAAGCACAAGGACCAGAGTTCGATCCCCAGTACCAAAAAAAAAAAAAAAAAAAAAAAGAAAACAGTATTTCAAAGACTATCTATGAATCACTAACAAAAAACAAGTATGTGCTTCCAACTAGCCTTGGAAAATCTTCACAGTAGAAATATGCTCAGAACAGATTATATACCTTCAGTTTATCCTGAAATAAAATTTATCACTAAAAAGACCAAATGCAAGACTGAGTTTCATTTTAGCATTTAAAATAGGTACTTTTGATAATTAAATCTGTAAATTGCAGGGACATTTTGTAATTAATTATATTTCTACTTTAAAAATTCAAATTTAGATTATGAAGAAATGACATAAAGTGAATGGCTTGGCTGTAAGAGGGTCCAGCCATCCACTTTTATTTATATGGGGCATGTGTGTGTGTTTTGCCAAACCACACTGTATAATTTTATTTTTCTGAAAAATGAAAGAAATTAACTCACCCAACCCCCTCCCAACAGGCCGGCTCCGCTCCCCGCAAGAGCAGTCCTTCAGTAACTGGATCATCTCAGCATGGGGCATGCTGGGTAGTCACAGCCAAATGGGAGCCGGCATGGCTGGACTCAGGGGGATCTGAAAAAGTATAAAACCACTTATGTGCTAAGGGCCTCCCCTATCCACCACTCAGTACAATTAATCCACTAGACTGGTGTATAGGGGGGAGAAAAGAATGGCTATCCAAATTAACAGCATTAAAATTTTTTGGCAAAAGCCCTTCAGTAGTCATCAAATAGGTAAAAACTTTTACTAATTTTTTAGCAGCATGGGAAGCCTAGAGAAAAAGAGTAAAAAGGAAGAAAATTTTTTACAGTTCAGATGCTGAATTGAACTTAATAATAAACAGTAGAATCTGTTGGGCAATTTATGTTGTCTCACTTCATTCTTGACGTTCACTTAAGGTCACATGCCAGGGAAATATCCACATGAATTTACCACAATCCCTTTATTTCTTTATCAGAAATATCTTTATGACTGTAACAGAAAATTTGTTGAATGTGCTACTGGAAAGTACTTTTAAAGTGGTTTGAATACTATGTGAAATTGGTTATTAGGACAAGGATTGTACTTTTAAATGTGTATCACTGGCAATGAGAAAATTATATCATGTCACCTGATTTAATCCTTTAAGAATGTATCAATTTTGCAGTATTTCTACTAAAAAAAACCTGAATCTAATCATGAGAAAATGAACCCATTCTACAAAATAAATGGTCTTTATTATTTTTAAATGCCCAGGTTTTAGTGGGGAAAAGTGGCAATCCCAGAACTCAGGAGATAGAAGCAGGAAGAACACAAGCATGAGGCCATTCTGGGCTACACAGTAAGTTTGAGACAAGCTAAGGCTACTCATCCAGATTCTGTCTCAAAAAAAAAAAAAGTCAAGGTTTTAAAAGACAGAAAAACTAAGGAACTGTTCCAGATTAAGAGAGACCAAAGAGCCAAATAGAAAGTTAACTCATAAATGAGAACCAAGACCTGTCATGTAAAGGTACAAGAGCCCAACAGTGAATGTAACTGTACTGTATACCTAAAATGTACCAATAAACTCAATGAGAGAGAGAGAGAGAGAGAAAAAAAGTAAGTTAACTCATGATACCACATTGGACCCTACTATAATCAAAACAAACTTTTGGATAAAAGGAGATAACTGGAAAACAGAAAAATGTGAGTTGGAACTATAGATTAGGTTAGTGATAACCTACTTAGAGCTTTCAGTAACAGTAGCCAGTTGTAAGATGTGTGTCACAGATTTGCTATCAATGCATTAGGTGATAGTACTGATTCTATGTTAATTTCCTATTTTTGATAACTATATCATTTAGGAAATGTTCTTCTATTTAAGAAATGCATATTCAAGTGTTTTCTAAAAGGGCATTCTGACTTATAACTCACTAAGTTATGGGAAAGGTTGACATCTGAGGAAATCTATTGAAGTGCACATACAAATTCTAGAATAGTATTTTGCAAAATCTTCTGTATGAAATTACTTCAAAATAAATGTTTTTTAAATGAATTAAGAACAGTGATAAATTAGGCCAAAAATGTTCAAGCTTCTAAATGTCTTAAAAACTATTATTTTCTTCTTATATCTTTGCCGAAAAAGACTTCCCTACTAGAATCTTTCATTCCAAAACCACACTTCAAACATTAAGCAGAGACTACTAGGGCTGCTATATAAGGTAAGAGGAAAATGGGCTACTAAAATGTAAGATTTCAATTCAGATATTAGACAACATTCTTATAAAATTGCCTTGTAAATCATTTCTCTTAAGTCATTAGGCCTACAAAAAATTATGCTATCCTTATAATCCAACTGTCAGTGGCTTTCTTTTCCCTCAAAAACATGGAAATTCTTCAAGAAATAAATTAAACAGCCAGGCATGGTGGGGCACACCTGTAACTCCAGCTACTCAAGAGGTTAAGGTGTGAGGACACCAAGTTTGAGGCCGGCCTGGGTAGCTGACCAAGACCCTATCTCAAAATGGTATTTAAGAGCTGGGGCTTTAGCTCAGCAGCACCACACCTGCCTTGCAAGCACAAGGTCCTGAGTTTGATCCCTGGTTCCAAAAAACGAAATTTTAAAAGGGCTGGGGATGCAGCTCAGAACTCTCTGTATATGAAAGATACACAGAGACAGACATATACACAGAGACACATAAATTAAACAATATGTATCTATTAAAAGCCAAATGTAGTACACCAAATTTACAAGATTAAAAAATAAGACAGTTCTTATTCTCAAGTAATTTATATTCTACAAAGGGTTTTTTTACGAGAGAAAAATACACCCTCATCATTATCACAATAGGCTACTTAGGTAACAATGCAAAATCACTGCATTTCTAGGTAATTTTCCACCTTTCCACTATGCCTTTCTACCCATCAGTTGCTAAGAACTTGCTTCCTCTCTCCTGGCCTTGGCTCCCTCCACAGTAACAATATTTATTTATTTGTTTGTTTATCTATCTTTTTTGGAGGGGAGGTACCAGGGATGGAACTCGGGTCCTTGCACTTGTGAGGCAGGCTGCGGAACCACTGAGCTAAATCCCCAACCCCATAGCAACAGTATTTAAAGGCCTGGCAAAACATTAAATTCTGGGCCAGGGATTTAGCTCAGTGGTTTCAGTGAGTGCCTGCCTCCCAAGAGCAAGGTCCTAAGTTTGGTTCCCAGTACAAAAACAAAACAAAACAAAACAACCCAAAACATTAAATTATACAAAAACAAAAGAGAAAACAAAATATTCCATGCCCCTAAGAACAGTAAGTCCTATATGATCACTTGAATCCTCAATGTTAAAGTACTGTTTCATGGTGTACCTGTCTGTTCCCTCCACTATGTTCTACTAGCAATGCTGGCACACTGCTGATGAACTAGGTTAGTGGTGGTGAACTTACGACACATGTTATTTTTCTTTTAAGATGAAAAGACGTTCTTATATATGACTTTTTATTCCTAAACTAAAACCTCAGTAATATTCAGGTTTAACTGCAGTGTTGGCATTTTGCGATAGTTAAGTGCGTTTTGGACTGCAGTTTAGGCACTCACTCAAAGGTTTGCTTGCCATCACTGATCTAGGTGAACATATACAAATAACAATACAGAGAAAAGTCAAAGGTCCTTTAAGGAAACTAATTTTACAAAAAAGAAAAGCAGCTTATATGCAAAATATTAAGAAACAAACAATGAAATGTCAAATAGCGTTGGGGAATAAGAAATTGTTTACAACTTCATAAAAATGCTCTCAAGATTACAAGAGATGATTCAAGGGGGGAAAAATCGTGCTAAGCACACAAAAGGTAGGTTTCCACATGTCATACAAAGCAATACATAATCCAAGTTTTTTTTCAAGGCTAGTATATTTAATCATGTTATCTGATATATAAAGTCAATTTTTAAAATTTACATGCATATAGTTTTTAAAATTATGGAAACAGAAAAGAACAAGATGGGTGTGTGGGCACATACTTGTAATCCCATCATTCTAGGAAGCTGAGACAAGAAGATTACAAATTCAAGCCTAACCTACACAATTATTTAGACCCTGACTCAACATAAAATACACGGGCTGGGGATGTAGCTCAGTGCAAAGGTTTGGCGTTCAATCCCCAGTATCTCAAAAATAAATATATCAAACTAGGAGCTATTTATTCAGTGTGACCTCTCACCTTTAGTCATACAATTACAACCTATATAAAACAAGTATCTAAAACTTTTAAAATTTATTATCCAATGTTTAAATTCAAAATCTGTTATGAGTCTAGTCCTACTAGAGCCACCAGAGAAAATAAACTCAATAGAGGTCTACTCTACTTTTCAAATATTAACAGTAACCTTACCTTATATGGATCCAGTAAAAAATCACTGAATTTGCTAGGCAGGGAATACTTCTTTACCAACTCATCTTCCACAACCCAAGGTGCATTCTCACCAGCACCAGCACGTAAGGCGTTGTGCCGTATAAAATACCGCAGTATCTCCTTATTTGGTGGGCGCTCTGTACGAATCAAGCTGTCTGCTGGCACATTGCTGATGATCTAGTGAGATAAGAAGCAGTAACTCACCACTGAGATAAGCAGTTGAGCAATGAGAACCAAAACTTAGAGCCACTCCAAAAAATTCACAATTCCATTTATAAAACAGGGGTCTAAATTAGAAGGAAGAATAATTTCAGACCCACAATATAAACTTAAAGATATCCTTAGGCAACTTATTGATATGCCCTAAAATGTGTATACCCTTTGAACCGAAATTCTATACTTATGAATTTTTCTTAGAAAGTAAATGAATAGTCATCTCATTAGAAAAAAAGATAGTTGAACGAGGGATTACCTATACATCCACTGATAAGAGATTCACTTAAAAAATTAAAATATATAAACGTACAATGCTATTAAACTGCAACTGTTTGGGCCTTAAAACAAACTCGATGATTTATAAGAAGTTCTGGCCACAGAGCTTAGGTATCTATAGGTTTAATATAGATTGGTGACTACTGCACACACTACAATCTGAGAATATTATTTTGGAAGAAAATTTAATGACACAACAGATACTTACCACATAAAACCAAGTTACAAAATAATACCCACGCAATATACTCCTATTTAAAAGTCACTTAGGAGCCGGGGATTTAGCTCAGTGGCGCCATGCTTGCCTGGCAATTGCAAGGTCCTGTGTTTGATTTCCAGGACAGAAAAAAAAAAAGTCACTTAGACCTAACCACCCTTAACCAGATCTACACTCATCAAATATGTATCATCTCTGTGGGAGATTAGAGAAAATTTATTTTTTATTTGCATTTTCTATCTCCTATAACCATTTTTTTTTTTTTTTTGAGACAGGGTCTCACTATGTGGTTGAGACTGACCTGGAACTCACGATGTAGCCCAGGCTGGTCTCAAACTCACAGCGATCTTCCTGCCTTAGCCTCCCAAATGCTGGGATTACAGGCGTGCGCCACCACGCCCGGCTCCTACAACCAATTTTTACTACCCATAAGGAAACGCTGAATGAGAGGTAAGCAACTTGATGAAAAATTGTATTTAAAATCTAATTTTCAAACCTAAGAAATACCAACAGCCAGGTGTGGTAGCACACCCCTAAATCCAGCACTTGGGAGGCTGAAGCAGGAGGATCTAGGATTTGAGCTTAACCCGGGCAACTTATCTGACCCTGTTTCAAAATAAAAATTTAAAGGGGGTGGGGCTTTAGCTCAGTGCAAAGGCCCTGGGTTCAATGCCTAGTAACAAAACACACAAAAGCCCAATTGTGTAAATGATAATGTGAAATAGGAAGAAAAGGGCTAAAGGAGTAGGGCAAGTGGGAAATGTAGGGGAAAGGACATAAGGGAAAAGAAAAAAATATCAGGAAAGGAGGAAATGGAAACAGAGTTTTTGAAAATAGGGAAGGGTGGAGGGGGTAAAGGGAGGAAAGGGGTATGGGAAAAAAATGAGAACCAAGATCTGTCATGTAAAGGTACAAGATCCCCAAGTTTGATCCCTGCTACAAAAAAAAGACAAAGGAACTGTCTTCCATATCCTGTCCCTTAGCCCACCTCTTTCTAGCTATAAAAACCGTTTCTAGTCATAACTCTGCACAAACATCTGCAATAAGCTGTATTTCCTAAATAAAGACATAATGAAACAGACACATTATTTTATATACCACTAAGAAAAACATTCTTGCCAACAATTTTAAAATACTTCCTGATTCTGAAAATATTTAAAACTAAAAAACTAGGGCTGGGCATGCAGCTCACTGGCAGAGCAGTTACCTACCATGAGAAGACCCTGGATTTGACCTCTAGCCATAAAAAACACAAATTATTTCTAAGCATTTTAGGACCAAGAAAATACATAGCACTATTTTAAGAATATCTACTATTGTAGGTTATTAGCTGGTAGTTTTATAAGACTCTTTGTAAAACAGTAATTATACTTAACTTCTGAGTTTAATTATATTAAACTGTTCTACTTTTAAATGGGAAAAGGTATTTCCTTGGGAAATCTGTAACTACTAAGAACAGATTCTTATTTTTTAACTGAGTTAGAAGCTCAACTATAGAATTATTGCTGCCTTTTAATATTTCCAATAAAGAAAGGGGCTAGGTGTAGTGGAAAATGCCTGTAATCCCAGCACTCTGGAAGCTGAGGCAGGAACATCATGAATTCAAGGCCAGGCTGAATTACATCAAGAGATTCTATCTCCAAAAAAAAAAAAAATACTGAGACTAAAAAAATTTGTTGTATATTTATTTTCTTTAGAATATTATCTCCAAGAAAACCAACCCTATGTATTTTCTTGAACATTTATCATATATAAAAGATTTAGTGTAAATTACTAACCTTGTCTTCATTTTGTAGTTTCACATCGTATTTGTGTGGCAGAAATTTTGGAGGTGCCCATTTCCTTTCTCCTTTTTTTAATGAAGTAGGAAGTTTTCGTGGTGATCTACGTGCTCGGTCATCTAATAAAATCAATAGAAATTTAGTGAAAAAATAATAATTCATTTAATTCTATTCACTCATTCATGAATAAACTCACTGAATACACACTCTGCACCAGGTTCTGGGTGACACACCCCAAAGATGAATCAAATTTTTCACTTCAAGGAGCTAAATAAAATCTATGGGGAGTAATAAGTAAATAATTAGAATCCCACAAGATAAATACTATAATATAGTTGGAAAACAAAAATGCTAAAAAGACAAATGCAGTGGTCCATAAAACTCAGCTATACAGGAGGTGGACAAGAGGATCATGAGTTCAAAGCCAGCCCATGCAACATGGTGAGGTCTTTCCTGTCTCTAAACAAAACCAAAACCAAAAATAACTAGAAGAGTACAGAGAAGGAATACTTGGTCTAGAGATGGAAGCATGAACATGTAAATAGAGCGTTAACTTGCTCAGAGACTATAAAGGCATGAGCTAGGAGTGAGCATAGTATAGTAAAAAATCAAGAAGGTGAGCTATACCCAGGTTATACAAGACCTCATATGTAAAGAGGCTAAGTTTGCCCTGTGAATACCAGACAACTGAAGGAGGATTTTTAGCCTGATTAATAAGATGCACATTTTGGCGGGGGGAAAACCTAAGAAAAAGAAAATCTGGGTGTAGGGGCACATGCCTGTAATCCCAGTACTTGGGAGGAGGCTGAGGCAGGAGGACTGCTGTGAGTTCAAGGCCACCCTCGACTATATATAGTAAGATCCTATCTCAAAAAACTGAAAAAAAATATTAATTTCAACAGAAGGTGAATAAAATGAGGTGAGACTGAAAATAAAGAAATACACAAGGTTAACACCTGAATTAATTGTGAGCATGACTGAGATACAACAGTATGCAGGTTGAAAAATAAAAAGACATAACACTTTAGGGGAAAAAAATCCAAAGAATGGCAAGAAAATAAGGAGGTAAAGAACCAGAACAATGAACTCGGAGAACTAGAAGACAGTATATAAGGTCAGGTAAACATAGCCAGGCATGGTGGCACATGCTTGTGATCCCAAGCACTCTGGGAGGCACAGGTAAGAAGATGGCATATTTGAGATCAACCTGGGCAACTTCGTGAAACTGTCTCAAAATATATATGGGGGAGCCTGGGAGATTTAGCTCAGTGGTTTGGCTGCCTGCCTTGCAAGTGCAAGGAACCTAATTTGATCCCCAGTACCAAGGGGAAAAAAAAAAATCACACACACACATGGGGGGGAGCATGCTAGGAAATAGCTCAGTGCAAAGGCTGAGTTCAATTCTCGGTACCACAAATAATAAAGTAAAAGATATGAGAGTAAATACCATGTTAAATATAACAGAAAACCATGCTAAGAAGAAATCTTTAGATATGGCAATCAGATCACCTATAACATGATAAGGAACTGTTTCAGGTATGAAGAGGCAGAAGTGTGACCACAACATAAGGAATACATCAATGGTCAATAACTAGAAATAACATTCTCAAGAACCTCACACACCCCTTTAATCCCAGCTTGTTGGAATATACATCAGCTTTATACCTAATGTAAAGCTCACATGTGTATTCCAACAATCTGATTCTAGAAGAGAAATGTTAGAAGCTGCATTATCAGCCAACTCCTAAAAATTTAAGAACCTCAGGAAATTGTAAGTAACATCCAAAAGTTGTAAAACTTCAGTATCAAAAAGGAAGACAGAGAGCCGGGCATGGTGGCGCACGCCTGTAATCCCAACACTGGGGAGGTTGAGGCAGGAGGATCACTATGAGTTCGAGACCAGCCTGGTGAGTTCCAGGTCAGTGTCAACTACATAGTGAGACCCTGTCTCTAAAAAAAAAAGGAAGACAGAAATTAGAAAGCGCAGATAGTAGCATTCATAATACAGGGCAGAAAAACTAAAGGATCAATAACTAGGGCTGCCTAGCTCAACTACTGTCTCAGAAGTTTTCTTTAGACTATGATAAGAAGTCCCTCAAAACCATCTGGCACACATCTGAAACATCTGGAGACATAAAACAGAATGGATGAGACAACATGACATTCTGGTTAACGTCTATCTAGTCCAGAGTCCCCAACAGATAAATAATGAAGTAAAGCATTTGGTTCTCTAACAGCCAGATTAATACATACCAAACACACTGTGAACTCATTCTGAGAGACAAAAATTAACTTTCTTATTTATACAGTTTGTTTTTTTTAAAGGAAAGCCTCAAAACTCAAATACTTTTTCTAGTGGGCTATGTTTAACTTCTTCAATTTTCAAAACATTATTGTTAAGCGTATCTAAATCCCTAGGAATTTTTAGACATTACAATTTCAGAATTCTAGCAGCGCTATCTGGGAGACTCAGACTCCACAAAATACAAGTATCTGAATCACCACACCAGCTTGCATGAGGAACAGTAGGGATTAGCATAATTTCTGTCCTACCATGATCATGCCACTCTACACATACAGACATATTTGCAACTTTAAGAGTAACAGAGGAATGTATAGTTCAGCTACTTGGGAGGAAGCTGAGGCAAGAGGATCACAAGTTTGAGGCCAGCCTGGGAAACTTATCAAGACCCTGTTTCAAAATAAAAAGGAGTGAGAAAGCAATCCAGTGGTAGAATGTTCCTGGGTTTGATCACCAGTATTGCAAAAAATAAATTTAAAAGGGCTGGAGATGTAGCTCAGTGATAGAATGCCAAGTGGAAGGCCCTGAGCTCAACTTCTAACACCACAAAAGAAAGGGAAAAAAAAAAAGAAAAAGAAAGAAAAAACTTCCTTTACTATCTTGAATAATTAGCAATGAGCACACATATTTCTAAACAACTAGAAGAAATAACTTCCCAATATCCCAATTACATAGGGATATTTAAGTCATAATTCACTTTGTGGACATTTTAGCTGTTTTAAATAAAAAATGAACAAAATTGTGTCTATACAAAAACTTAATTACACATTAAGTTACTGAGAACTCTAAGATTTGTGTTTAAGAAAATAAAAAGGGCCTCTCCTCCTAACTCACTCAAGAAAGCTAGCATCATACATACTAATAATCTCTCTCCTTCCTTCATCTTCTTTTACTACTGCCTCCTTCTTCTGATGGTCCTGAGCCATCTGACTGGAATTCTCCTTGTCACTGGATGGAGAATCACAGGCACCATCAGATTTCTTCTCAGTGGCCTCTTCATCTACTTTCTCCAAAGGATGAATCTTCACTATCTTCACCTTCAGCATTTTTTCTTTTCCAACCTATAAAGGAGACAGAAAAGAAAATCAGAGGTATTTAATAATTAGAAATTTAACAATACTTAGTATATCTGATTCAGTATACTGTCCTCCTCACCTACCTAACCAAAATCCATTAATATTCAAACACAGTGAACTTTATTTCTCAGGATTCTAGGCCGAAGTGTTATCTTTAAAAATAAAATGATCAGGGCCAGGCATTTAGCTCAGTGGTGCCACCACCTGCTTCGCAAGTGCAAAGTCCCAAGTTTGATCTCCAGTACCAAAAATAAACAAAATAAAATGATCATAATCTAGTTCATAATCTATGTTCCAATGTACAAGGCCAAAGGACAATCACTGTACTAGCCTAAAATATGCATACAAACTTGTATTTTTTAAAAAACTCAATAATATATTGATATCTAATTGAGAACTCATTTGTTGAAAGATTCCTTTTCCACTTAATTACCTTTCCATGTCTACTGAAGATCAGTTGTGCTTGTCTACTTCTGCATGCTAGCCAGCTCCACTGATCTATTTAACACAGAAACTTCAAATTAAGGTTTGAATTAGGTATTCTTAGGCCTTTAACTTTGGTGATCTTTTTCAAAGTTGCTTTGACTGGGTTCTTTGAATTTCTACGTGAATTTTATAAGTAGCTCAGCAATCCTTACAGAGACTTTAATGCAACTTTATTAAGTCTATACATTATTTCAGAAGAAATGACTCTTCAATGAGCTGTCTGACCCATGAACAAAGTATAACTCTCCATTCATTTAATTCATCTTTAATTCTTAGCTCTTTTTTTTTTTTTTTTTTTTTTTT